AGCAGCAGCAGCAGCCTCAGCAGCAGCAACAGCAACAGCAACAGCAACAGCAACAGCAACAGCAACAGCAACAGCAACAGCAACAGCAACAGCAACAACAACAGCAGCATCAACAGCAACAGGAACAGCAGCAGCAGCAGCAGCAGCAGCAACAACAACAACAACAAGCAGCAACAACAACAACAACAGCACCAACAGCAACGACAGCAACAACTACATCACCAACAAGAGCAACAACAACAACAAGAGCAACACAACAACAACAACAACAACAACAACAAGAGCAGCAACAACAACAACAACAACAACAGCAGCAGCAACAGCAACCAAAAAACAAAAACCGCAGCAGCCGCAACCGCAACCACAACCAAACCGAGCCGAGAAGGGGCTTCCTTCCGGGATTGAGATTTTGGGCGGTTTACGGAAATTCCGCGCCCAGAACCCAGCCCCTTAAGTCTCGAGCCAACAGGGTTTGGGGAGCCAAAAGGGGTTCTGAGTTTTTCTCGGAAGCTTGGGTTATTCAACATGTGAAGGTAGGCCGGAGGTTGTCCCGACCAGGAGCGGATCTTCGAGTTGCAGAATCCCGTGAAGGCCGGAAGTGAGGCACCATGTCTCGATTGAGCTACAACTAAGTTGCTCTCCACAAAGTTGGGGCCCTTGAGGGCCACAAGGTTTGCAGTTGGGTTTCAACCACTTGCAGTATCGGGCTGGTTCTGGCTGGGCAGGCAGGGCATGATGGCGCTTGATTCGTGCCCCGATCTCCGCGAAGACGTTGAGACAGGCGCAGCAGTGATGAGGTGAACTGATGCTGCGGCGTGCCGAAACCTCTTTCACCCTTGCTCAATGTGGGAATTTCAGAAAGATAAAAATACATGTTCCAAAAGCATATAAACCATGAATAGCACACCGGATCCTTATTGTGATGATCCCGCTCCCTCCTCAGACCTCCTCCCTCCGCAAAAAGACCGGCATTTGTAAGAAACTCCCACATCGATTTCCAACTGCCACCATTTAGGAGAGATGACTGACCTGATAATCTAACGGCTGGCAGACTTTCCAAGGCAACCTTGCTAAGCAGCTGCCTAAAAGCATCCACCTGCCTGCCGTGCTCAGGTTTATATATGGCAGGCCAGGGATTTAGGGCTAAGGGCTAAGGCGCATCTGACGAAGGCATTTCCGGAGCCTTCGTTACTTTCTTCTTATATTTAGAACACACCACATTATGTTGTTGCCTTTTGTACTTTGGCTCTTGGTTGTGTGGTTGTAATGTAAAGAACAAACAGAAGTGAAAGCACAAACTTATGCCACGAATAAAGGAATGAACAAGCGAAAAGAAAGACACGATTTTGCCCTGTGTGTCCTCTCCCACTTGTTTCATGCGTTCCTACGTTTACTTCATGATAAACAAAGTAGGAGGAGAGAAAAGCGGCCGTGTGTTTCTCTCATTAAAATGAAAGGACGAAGGAACAGCGTGAATACTTGCGTCAGTTTTGAATAAGCAAAACACGCCACACATCTTGTCCCTGTTGTGCTGTCCTTCTTTCTCCTTTCGTTGTTGTTACTTCCTTTACAAACAAAGAACGCAAAGCAGATAAAGAAAGAAACAAAGAAATACATAAGTTAATAGCCTGCACTACCAGTAGCATTTCGCGCGTTTCTTGTGGGTTCTGGCAAGCCTTCTGTGAGTCCGCGAAATGTCGTAGGTACGGTTCAGACGGCCCTTCGGTATGCGAAGTTGAAGGCCATATTTAACCCAGAGATCGGAAGTCCCCTGCAGCGCATGCCCTGAGCTTCAAAACCTTTGAACAAACCCTTACCTAACTCCATTCCCAAACCCCCAACCCCGATAACACATGATACCACTCCTTTCGGCAGCTTGAACGCACATTGTTGGTGAGAGAACCGGCTCAAGAAGCTGACATGTGCGAATGGATGTTATGGTTTCACGGTTTAGGGGCACAGGAGTTAGGGATTCAAGCATCTTCCGGGCTCCATAAGGCTTTGGTGGGTTTGTAGGAGTGGCTGAGGGCTTGAGGATGTCGACCACATGGTGTGTTCGTGCAGGCGCCAGCACCTGGTTGTCACGGCGATTTCAGTTTGAAGCAGTCCGAAGTGAATCTTGCCATGTGCCCCCGCAAGCAAGACAAGAAGCTGCGAGAAGTCTTGACGAAAAATAATTTCCTACTCCAGTTCTGGATAGCTCTTGAGGGGTTGCAAAGTGCCCGGCGTGTGCTGCTGCTTGTCAGAAGAAAAGCCAAATAGGGTGACTGGAAAGCTTGAAAATATCGGGCCATGTTGGTTCGTATGTTCGCATCTCAGAAGGGCCGCCTGTAGCTGACAACCGCAAACCACTACCCTGCCTCAGGAGATTGCCAGGCGACCGACCATGGCCCCAAGCGTGCATTGATGAAAAAGAACGCGATTGATATGGGGTCTGTATGAAACAGGCTGGTGCTTCGGGTCTAGGGCTCTTTGGAGAACAGTTGGAAGAGCCAATCGAAGCTGGATTCTCAGTTTGTTCTTGCCCCAATCTTGTATGTTCCACAAAACATCGAGGGTTCCTGATGCGTTTGCTGGAGCTTTGGAGCTACACAGGATGATTCTCTCAGGGTGCTCTCGAAGCAAAGCGGGCTTTGCCAAAAGGTCCAGCTACCTATGTCTATGTCGTCTCTACTTTGTTCGGCCTGGGGGGGGCTCCCAAAAATATATACGGACCGTTGTAGCAGGCTTTAGACAGACGGCAAAACTCTTGCTGGGCCCTCATCTAGGCCCAAGCCTTGTGCTGCGTGAGGGTCGCTGCGGAGCTCGAATCCGGGGGGATAGGATTTCAGGGTTTATAGGGCTAGAAGCCGTTTATCTTGGGATTTCGAGTATCGGGATAGCATTTGAGCATGTTATGTTTAGAATCGTTTGGGCTTTTGTTGTGTAGGGCTTAGTGATCATGTTATGTTTAGGGTCTTCTGGGCTGTTGTTGTGTAGGGCCTAGGATCGGTTTTGCAGGAGTTGAAGTTTAGGGTTAGGGGTTGGGTACAGTCTATAGGTCTAGGTGAAGCGAGAGCAGTAGGAGGGTCAGAGATTCAAGGCTCAGGAAGTTGGCGTTTCAGCTACAAAGTAAGACTGCAACTCCCCCGTACTGTTGATGAAATAAATCCTGTATTACCTTAACGACCCTAAACTAGGGGAATTATATGGTATATTGGTATATTCCTTATTATGGGTAATGCAGGATTTTTATCATCAACCGTATGTGACCATCCCGGTGGGCCTCAATTCGCAATCACAAACCCGCGCTCATTTCGGGTGGAGTCCTTGGCCGAAAACTCCCGACAACATGGAGCCATTAGGCTCAAAGGGCACCCTTGCCTTGGGTCGTTCTAGAGCGGTGGTGGGCCACTACAGGCAGACCCGGCGCTTTTTCTGGAGCGTAGCTATTGCTTAGACAGCCCTAAGCCCTAAACCCTAAACCCTAATATCCCATGACTGAAAGTGTTGAAGGCGATTGATTGATCCGTTCAGGGCTTAGGTGTTCAATCCAGGCTCACTGTCTTCGGTTTAGGCAGGGTTTAGGATGCTTGGGCGTGGTCAGGAGATGTCAAGAGGATAGTGTAAGTACTTTGCAAACAAGGTTGATGTGAAGTGCCATGCCAGTCGGTAAATGCGGTCCAAAACTTCATGTCGTTTGAGAGTCGCTTGGGCTCAATATTGTTAGCCATGCCTCGTAAACCCCAAACCCTAAACCCTAAACCCTATCGTAGATGCCTTCACTGACGGAGTGAAGTCACCAGCTCAAACAATAGACCCCGGACCTTCCAAAGCAATTAAAACTATACCTTATAATGTTATAGCAGGATCCCTGAGATGATTTAAGGTATATTCCATAATTATGGGGGGCTAGTTTAAGCTCTAGGACCGTGCCACCCTAGCTTAGGACCTTCGCACACTTTGATCAGCAAGGCAATTTGAAAAGGCGGATGTGCATTTACCACCTCATGAGCAACCTTGTGACGGAAATCCAAAGAAGCAACTGTAATGGCCATCCTAAAAATTCAGGGTTAGCCACAATGACAAGCATGAGCATAGTCTTCAAACCATTGATGATAGCAATAGAAAAACCATTGATGATGAGGAGACTGTTGCAAATAACAGTTATAACAGAAGAATCATCAAAACATTGCTGGCAATAATGGTTAGCAGCCATTATAGTAATAAACAGAAGAATTTGCAACTAACGATGATAGTAACATGAAGAAGAAGAAGCCAGCTCGCGATCCCCAAGTGCTGGATGAGCCGGCCTCGCAAGTCCTTCTAGAGCGCAGTATGCCTCGACCTGCAAAGCCTCACGCCCCACCCCCGGACCCTAAAAATACCTGTTTGTTTTAAGGGATCCTTAATATGTACCGAAAAAATATTTGTTTTTTGTTAAATGGATCCTTAAGATGTATAGTTTCCATACATAGGCCCTTATGGAGTTAAGGTCCTCAAGCCCTGCATCCCTGAGGCAAGCTCCGACACCAAGGTCCTCAAGCCAAATCTTCAGTTCAGAGACTCGAAGCCATAGCTTGTGGATGCTGCCGCATTCCCTAAACCCTGCCAATAAACCCGGAACCCTGAACCCTAAACCCTCAGCCCTCAACCTTAAACCCTGAACCCTAGTTGGAGTTGCGGTCTGTTCCTGGTGCCGCCAACCCTGTACAGGTTCTCATGGAGCCTGCTGGGCCTTCCCCAGATGATGAGGCTCCCTATACGCGGTGTTTAGGGTGTCTATGGCTTCAGGATTAGAGGGGTTTCGGATCCTTCGAGCTTCAGACTTTTTCGGGATAACTTCGGGGTCCTGTGGGTTTAGCGCCGTAAACCCTAAAAAAAAACCCGTTTGGGGGGGACGTTTGAGCTTTCTGTTCTGAAGCTCGAACTCTGATTTAGCGCCGCCGAGAGGATCAAATCGGCTGTAGAAAGGCAAAGGGTCCGAGGTACTGTTAATATATTAGAATAGGATTTGTTTAAAGGGTCCCTTAAAAGGGATACTATATCTCTGTAATATAGGGGCCTTAATAATTAGAATAGGGTTTGGGGTATATTATATCATAATTGTAATGAGGAGCCTCCAAAACCCCATCAACATAATTATTAAGGCCCCTACATTGTGGATTCTACCTTTGGGCAAGAAGGCCTTGGGACGTAGAGTGCACCTAAACTGCGAAACTGGGCGCTGATCTAGGGCCTTGAACAGGCAGACTGGGGTATTGAAGGGCTCTAGTAAAGACATGTGAGGGAACCCTGAGGAAGTGAGACTCAGAACCCCGTACATGACAAATATTTACCTGGACACAGTGGTGAACAACTCGTGATTAGTCACACTGCGTCCAGGTCTTTGAGCTTCAGGGTGCAGCTTCCAAACGGGGTTTATGGTCTCGAGGTTAGGGTTAGGGCTTGTGGGGTTTAGGGTTTTCGGGTTGATGAGGCCACACAGCCCGCATGGCACAGGCCCTAACCGAAGCTTTCGCAGGCAGACGAATGTTGTGCGATCTGCTTCGAGCCTGGCGTCTTCGTAGATTTGCCATGCTCCTGCCACTCGGTCGGACCGCGTTTAGCTGCAAGTGCAAATGCTGCTTCGGCCCGAAATCCTATTCTCCAATTTCCGGCCCGAAAAGCCCGAAATCCCTACAGCAAGCCCAAGCCCCCAGTCATTCCATCCCGAACCTTGACCCAAACAAGTACTGCAATCCAGCATGTGTAGGGAGTCCCAAGCCGTATGGACAAAGCCAAGATAACGAGCAACTCAGCAGGCACACACACACACACACACACACACACCCTGAACCTTGGAGCCGCCGCCACCCACACTCTCCAAACGAAACCCCGATATCAAACGCGCCAATTGACAGGGTTTAGGGTTTAGGGTCTAGGGTTTAGGCTAGGGCTCTTGAAGCCTTGTACCCTAAATCCCGTGCCGTCCATCCTGCACTGCTTGCACCCCCCAAAAGCCTTTTAAGGCTCCGTGAAGTACTGCAGCTCTTGCTGGGATCGCGCACTGGCATCGTCTGTAGCACTGAGGGGCCGAGCCACTCGATCGCACCTGGGGAGAATGTCTTGTTGCATTACTTTGAGTATGTTACTACACATGGTTCGATCTTTCTGGGTATATATTAATTAGTATATATGATCACACCTAGCAAAATCTGGCTTTTTATGAACGAAAGTTTTGGTGCGTCGACTTTCCGGTTTCTCAGGGCTTTAGAGTTTAGGTGCTGATAGCATGTTGCATGGTTTTGATAGGTTCCATACAGGGTTGGCTTTAGAAGGGTGTTGTACGGCTTAGAAAGGGCAGGATTTAGCTTGAGGCTTAAGGGCTCAGGGTTGAAGCTTTGATTGATTAGAGTTCAATCCTGTGGGTTTTAAGTTATGGTGGCTCCACTCTAAACTCTAAGCCCCAAAGCCCTAAAACTTTAATGAACTACAAAGCCCTAAACTCCTACGGCGTCTACGGAAACCCTGAGCCCGGCCAAAAGCTCCCAACAACCCCCAGCCTTAGCCCTAAACCCCAAAAGCCCTATAAGCGACTCCCTCAACCTTAGCTTAGAGCTTAAAGCCTGATGCCTTCTCGAGTGTCGGTTCAGAAGTGACGCGAGCGAACATGCAATGCAGGCCCACTGCCCTTCGTGTCGCTCTGCTTTCAAGGCAGCCCTTGGAGGGCACGGGGATGTCGGGGTCCAGGGATCAGGGTACAGTTAAGAAGGGCTTGGGGTTTAGTAGATTTGGTCTGTGCAGTTCGGAAGGAGTTGACTTTTGGGGTTCGACGTGCGAGGCTTGGCAAACTCAGGTGCCGGGGACTTGATCAAACGATTCTGGAACGAGCTGCCAGGGCGCAGGAATGTGGATGGGAGCGAAGTTGGCAGTTCTCTGGCATTGGCCGTCCTGGGCAACGTTGAAGTATGGCTGCCTGCTTTGTGCATCTTAGGGACAGGGACCGTAATCGGAAAACTGAACGTAAGAGATATCGCTGCTGCACCCCGAACGACCGGGAGACGGTTGGAGTTTAAAGTTCAGTTCAGGTAGGGCCCAGGTAGGGTGCGCTGTTCGATTTTGGACACAAATGCTTGACATTAGGATGTGAACCGGTGGATGCTTTGGTTCATGGGGGAACTCAGGTGCTTGGAACATCGGGTCCCAGCGCAACCTCTCAAGCAAATGGATACTGAATTGGCCTCTGAAAAGACTGCACGCATGCCGGCATCGAACATGGAATCCACAGCCAACCGGCTTAATCTAGCCTCGCATACATGGCCTCAGCACTGTAGCAGCTTATTACACCATGCTGAACACGGAACCCTTCATCCAACGTTTACCTGGCCTTTTTTCGTCGAGCCCAAAGCTGAAGTTTTTCTTGGGAAGGTGGACTACGACACCGAGAGAGGCGGCCTGCTCTTGTCGCGGGATCCGCAAGGCCGGGTCATCATCCCCGCTGACCCCACCGGTAGGTCTACACAAGTAGTAAAATATCGGATGGTATTTTGTACATATGTGTGTAGGCCACGTATGCATGAAATCAAGCATGCAAACATGTGCGCATGCATGCCTCTAAGCATGTACATCTACATCGGCATGTGGACGCAGAGATGTGCACGTGTATGCATCCATAGAAGAGTATGCAAACGTGCACATTTGTGTGCGCATACTTGCATGCATGTATAATGAATACAGACCTATACAACACCTACAATGTATGGCTTGTACACGGAGTGCATGCATCCACAGTCCATACATGCATACTTGCTGCCTGTGTGCATTTTGTATACTCAGGATGTGTACGCTTCTTACTTACGTCGGTTCTTGGTTCATAGCTATGCCTTTGACAGTTGAGGTTGAGGACTCAGTGTCGACGACACAGACACACAACACAGGAACTCAGAAAGACAGAGGTGATCAGTACTCCTGATCCTTGCGGATGGGGTGTTGTGTTTTGTCTCCTGGCCAACTTGAACTCAAGCCGCCGACTGCCCCGAGGATCAGATTGGGTGGATACAGTGGGGAGTGGACAGAGCATGTTGTACTGAGCGCTTGCTTAAGTTGAGTGTCGCATTTCTGGGTGTGGTTTGTATGACAGTTGTGCGTCATGAATTCTCAAGCTGGCCTGCAGGCAATGCGTCTTGCGACTGGAGAACACAGCTTTATGAAAAGGCCGCCGCTGCTATTTCTGTGTCCTTCCATAACAGAACTTGATGAGTGAGAACCCTAAACCCTAAACCCCCTAAACCCCAAAGCCCTGAACTAAACCCTAAGGCCCTAAACCCCTAAACCCTGAACTAAACCCAAAGCCCCTAAGCCCCTAAACTCCCTAAACTCCCTAAACCCCTAAACTCCTAAACTCCTAAACCCTAAAGATGAGTGCATTTCCCTAGGCCCAAAGGATCACAACTGCTATTTGGTGGGTTTGGGTGCCGTGGGTAGGTAGCCAAAAACAACCGTCCCTAAAGACCATCCCTACAGACCCGGAGGTGCAGAATCTTTGCTTGGTCACTTCAGTTCCTTATTGCAGGGTCCGAACCATCAAACAGGATATGCAAGACATGGCACGCGCGTGCGCGCCAGCTTCTGTCTGGTGCTTAGTAGGGAATGGGGGAATGGATCCCTATGGTAGTCCCTTTAAGGTCCCTTATGGTAGTCCCTATAACCCATTCCCCCATTCCCTACTAAGCACCAGACAAGCTTTTAGCAGGTGCGGTCGGTGCAGATCAATAAGCTCCGTGGCTTCGGCGCCGCCGCCTCAAGGCGCGGAAGCCTTTGAGTTGAGAGTCAAGGTGTACCTGGGCTATTCCGTAAGGGCCCATTATTCAGCACAATAGGGGCTCTACAAGATACAAGGTACACTCGGCGATCATCGTAGTCACTGATACGGTTGATGATATAAATCTTGCGTTACCCATAATAAGGAGTATACCACAATTCCCATAGTTTAGGGCCCTTAACGTACTGCAGGATTTATATCATCAACAGTAGTGCGCGTTTCACGCGATCCGGCTTTAGTTTCGCATAGCTGCCCATAAAACCCCACCCAGCCCAAGGGCTACAATTACCGTCGCCTACCGAAGCCTACTTGTCGTAGGGTCCTCATGAATCCTGTAACTACGTTTCGTCATCAGGACCTACACAAGAGAGTGGGGCGATGGTGCTGTTGATGTTATAAATCCTGCATTACCTTAAACTTAAGTTATATAAAGGTATAGTACTAGCACTATTAATCATCGCATTTTGTAATTAAGTAGCAACATTGTTTTTGTATCGTGTTACTACACTTGGACTTTTCTGTTAATACATTCTTTTTGCCAAGCCCCGAAGCTGAATACGCAGCACATGCTCAGGAGAACAGGCCCTAACAGAGGATGTGGATGTGAAGTTCAGCCGCGCTGCGCCATCTTCCGCACTGGCTTTTGGCAGTTTGTGTTTCGGGGTAAGATGTCCCTTGCGAAACCGTAGGGGTCCATGAACCTACATCGTATATATACTGAGGCCTGAAAGGGGGCCCCTGTACAATCCTGTATGATGAGTTTAGGCTACAGACCCTTAGGGGAATGGCAGTCTCGTGTTTGGCCTGCATCCGAACAGGGAGTTCTGCCTGGCGCTTCAAAAAACTCCTTAAGTTCGAAACCGAGGTGTCTGCGGTGCTGAACTCGAGCACATCAGTAGTCGTTCACGTCGCTTGGCTTTTAGATCGTGTCCACAACCCTGCAAGCCCGAAGCCTATAACCGAAAACCCCTAAACCCAGGACCCTAAGCCCTCTAAGCCCTGAACCCTTCGCCCACGAGCCCAACACCCTAAATGCTCACGACCCGCAGCCATGTGTATGATTTGTCATACTATTTCTGGGGGGTTCCTTTCTACAATACCCCGAAACCGGAAAAAGGCTACATAATGCTAAAGTGTTGAATCCGTAGGAATCCCCGATGATTCTGATGGTCTCCGCCCGCCACCGAATTGCGGCCTTACTTTTTTCATGAAAGGCAAAACCCTATAAGGCCCAGGGCCTGAACTCCAAACGCAAAGCCCTGTCTAAACCGTCAAAGCCCTAATCATCCCTTCTGAGGCATTCTTAGACTACTAGAAGACATGGAACCGGGCTGGCGATCGCGAGTGGCTCAAGCAGATGAGATGGTCGAAAGGCTTCTCGCACCCTGGCTCGTTTTAGGCGAAAGATTGTGGGCTTGGAAACACAGATACTTGGAGGTTCATGGGTAGTTATAAGTGGGGTTATAAGTGGGGTAACTATACTTATAACCTATATTAGGGGACTTATAACCCCGCTTATAACTACCCATGAACCTCCAAGTATGCCCTTGAACCCCCGAAACCGACTCTCGCTCTTTAAGGGTTGGTGATTGCAGCAATGGTGAGCTTCCTCTTTCACCCCATTCCATGCCCCGTCAGACGCAGTCCGGCAAGCCTGTGGATTTGCAGATTTCAATTTTTTCCAAACCAGATTCGTTCTTCGACCGAACGGCCACCTGATCACACCCTAAACCCTTGACCGAGGATTGCTTACAGTCCAGCTGAGTAGCCCAGGCCCCGGGAGTATCTGATTAGCAGATCCCCTTGTTTGGTACCCCATACGTTACTTTCTAGGAGCTCCTTTAAGGGATCTAGTTTTTGGATCGTCCCAAGGGTTTGGGAAGTTGACTCACGTCGTGGGCTTTGCGGTAGAAGAGGCCGTTTTTGTGCCAGCTCGATTGGGCTTGCTGGGACAAGGTCGTTGATGTTGCTGACGTTTCTTGTTGCCCCTGGCCCTGACTCTGCTGTCCATTTCAGTCTGGTAATGCATGGCTATAACAAGTCTGTTTTCTAACCCAAAACCGTATTCTAGATATGAGTTAAGCCTAAACTCTCTGTTCGCCCTGGGGTCCAGGACAGTTCGCTGGTGACTTGCGACCTGTGCGACCAAGTCGCGATCCGTCTCGCAGCTCAAGATCCGGGTAGTTGCCGTCGGTTTGAACTCGGTTTAGGGTTTCGGGCTCATAGAGTGTAGGGTTTCCGGCATTGTTGGGTAGCTTTTTGGTAGATATGTGCACCAGAGTCTTGAGTTGATTTTCTGAGATCTGGAGGTTGGGATGCAGTAGCCAGAATTGTCACCCTGTCATGTTGCAAGGCCAGAGCCCAACCCTCTGAAGCCCTACGCTGAACCTAACCCATACCTGGACCCTAAAGAACCCACCTTTTTGGGGTTCCTTAATATGATTTCTTTATATAAGTCCTTGAAAGTGTAGGTTCTTTGGGGTTAAGGTATGTCTGAAGGTTTCAGACTACAAATCCTCAGGCTTCAAGACTCCAACGCCAAGACCCAAGCTCTGAACCCCAAGCCCTACCGATGGTCTCCGTTGTAGTTCCTTTTGGGGGTTACGTCAGAGGATCCTGAATAAAGAAGTGGTTAGACCAGAAAAATGAACTGCAATGGAGACCAGAGGGAAGCCCCTAAACCCTAAACCCTAAACCATAAACCCTAAACCCCTAAATCCCTAAACTCTTGAGAAGCGGCAAAGGTGCCAAGGGCGTGTGGACCTGCAAAGCCGGGCCTCACACCGTCATGCACCCGGCGGCATACGACGTGTGCAACTCGACAGCAGCTGAATATTTTGGGGTTAGGGTTTAGGGTCCTTTGGCGTGTCAGGAGCTACTTGAGAGGGTTATAGGATAGTGGGAGTTTGGGGCTACTTGAGGGGGCGTTCATCCCTAAACCCCAGACCCCCAAACCCTGAACTTTAAACCCAAACCCAAACCCCGAGCCCTTAACCCTGACCGTAGGAACGCCTGGCCCTAAACCCTAAAATCGCAAACCCTGGACCCTAAAACCCTAAAGCCCTAAAAGCCCTGGACCCTAAAACCCTAAGCCCTAAAAGCCTGAAGCCTGAACCCCTCTAGACCCCAAAACCCTAGACCCTAAAACCCTAAAGCCCTAACCCCTAACCCTATATACCCGAGGCCAACCCTGAGCCCCACACCCCACGCGGGATCGCCTCAGCTTCAGGGAACTTCCATCCTGCGTCCTCTGGTCGACGGGCCTTTGATTTGGGGCTTATGGCTCAGGGTTTAGACTTAGGGTTCAGAGGTTTAGTAGGTTTAGGGTTTAGAGGTTTAGTAGGTTTAGGGTTTAGAGTTTAAGGTCTTGAGTTTGGGGTTTTGTTGTTTTTGTTATCTGTGATCGCTTAGAGCTTTCAGGGTTTCGGGTTTTGGAGTCCGGGAGGCACCGGGGATGACGTACTGAGACCCTGCTCCGGTTTTTGTGTGTTACTGAATAGGATCCTGCAGGAAAGAACTACTATAAGGGCCTTAATAATGAGAAAAGGGTTTGGGGGTATATTTTGCTACAGTTTTAATAAGGAACCCCCAAAACCCTATTCTATTTACGAAGGCCCCTACATTACGATTAACCCCCCAGAAAAGGTGCTGCACCGTCGGGTCTAGGTAGACGTGCCAGCGGCGACCCAAGGCTTCCCCTTCGGACCCCCGACCCCTAAAGCCCCTAAAGCCCTAAGCCCTAAACCCCGAAACCCTATAAACCAAGCCTAAAGCCCTGAACCCTTAACCCCTTAACCCCTAAACCCCTAAACCCCAAAACCCAAAGCCCTAAGCCCTAAAACCCCTAAACCCCAAAATCCCTAAACCCCTAAACCCGTAAACCCTAAGCCCGAAACCGTCTCTGTGCGGCCCTAAGCATGGTAACCTCAGGCCGGAAAGCATCATCAGCGGAATCGCTGTGTTGTTTCATCTCATAGCATATGGTACCCAGAGACTCCAAAACCCCTTAATAAAGGAATATATCTTAAATCATATTAGGGATCCTATTATAATTTAAGGTATATTCCTTAATTAAAGGGTTTTGGAGTCTCAGGGTAGTATGTTATAGTACATTATAGTCTATTCTTGGCCTGTGCAAAACTCTAGAATCTTTTGCGTGCTCAGCCCTAGAAAGGTTCGAAGTCCCGATCTCGAGCACCCGACCGCAGGTGAGTCTTGCTTCGAGGCCTACTCGGGAATGGCGATGCCGTTGCCGGGACATGTACAGAAGCGACTCGCCAAGAAACTCGTTTAGGAATTTGCGTAGAATGATAAAGTCCTTAAAAGGCAGGCTCTTGCGGATCGATTGCAAAGCCTAGTTTCGGACATGAAAGGTAGTAGACCTTACAAGCTCATTGGAGACATGAAAAACCCTAAGCCCTAAACATCCGGGAATGCCCGGCCCGCTAAAATAAGCCCGAAAGACGAAGCCAAATGCCTCAAGTCCAAAGTCATAAACCCTGAATCTTCAAAGAGTCCTAAGTACCTATAGAGTAGAATGTAGGGTTTCCATATCATGAACTGCAGTTATGATATCCCCCAGAACAGCACATAGGAACATTTTGGGACGGGTTTGTACTCCCCGACCCCGAGGAGCTCGAAGATGCGGTCGGTTTTCTGTTGGGACCGCACACGCCAGACCTGCAGCCAGGCGGGCGTTTTTTTTTCGAAGAGTGCTCTGGATGATTCAGGCGCCCTAAGTGGGCCCTAAGGATCCAAAGTACCTAATATATATATATATATATAGATAGATAGATAGATAGTTATATATATATATATATATGTATATATAAAGTCCTTATATTATATGCATAGTGTTCTATCACCCGAAACTCTACGGAAACTATGCAGGCCCCTGTGCTCAACATCTAGAGAAGATCCCTCTTTCGGTAACCTGAAGTTCCAGAACCCTTATTAAGAACCCTTATCATCGCTGTCGTTGTAAAAGGGAGTCCCTTCTTGTTTAGATTCTACATGCCTCCAGGCATGCCGCTGCTAAGCTCCCGAAACCCGAAACCCAAACCCTACATCCTAAACCCTAACCCCTAAGCCCTACACCCTAAACCCTAAACCGCAAACACTACATAGTTTGATCGATGGCCTCCAGGCATGCACTGCCATGCTGGATGCCCTACCGCGCTCCTGGGCACGACGCCTCCAGCGGAGTGAGGCCGAAAATTTCTCCTGGTCCCAGTAGCTTCTAACAGTACTAATGTTATATGTATACATATATATATATATATGTATATGTATGTATGCATGTATGTAGGTATGTATGTATGTATGTTATAAATATATATATATATATATATGCATGCTTGGACAGATAGATAGATAGATAGATTGATATATGGATAGATGGATAGATGATACGATAGAGTTGCCTTGTTAGTTAGACTAGCTTTTCCGGTGTTTTTCATAGCCATATTACCTCATACTTATGCATTGAACTACCTGAACCTCTATTTTTTTATAAGATCTTATTATCAACCTTCTCTTCAATTTAGAGCGTGGGCTCCAAATAGCCCAAAGTAAGTATTCTTCATGGATTTTGGAACTCAAAGTGAGGGGGCTTTGTTGGTCAGAAGGATCCTTAGGGTACAGATCCTTCGCAGGAGGTCTTGCGCAGCTTCAGATGTGGTAGTTACTCACCGAAACCTTTTGACCCTAAACCCAACATTTGCAAGAGGTAGGCGTTGGACTCACAGGCAAGGCCTAGAAGAAAGCTCCCACTTCCCGAAATCATTCAATCCGAATCATAGAGCCGTGAACTCAAGCCCTCGGGCGCTGTGATATAGGGGCCTTAATGAATACCTATACTTCTTTACAGGTTCCGTATTGTAACATTGTAACTATTCAATAATGTACCCCAAAACCCTATTCTAATTATTTAGGGCCCTATATTAGGCATCCACCTTGTCGTCATTTTAACTTGATGGTTCGGTCCAGGGGTCACAGGAATTCGGGTTTAGGGTTTAGGGTTTAGAGTTACCTTAGAATCATAGGGTTTTGCTGGGGTTCATACGGGTTTATAAGTTTGTGAGGCATCAAAACGGTTTATACCGGGTGTTTTATTGAGTTGCTGTGGGTTCTAGCTAGCTTGTACTCGCCCGAAACACTGACCTACATTTACCACTATCCTCAAAGCAAGTACCTTGCTATTGGGTCCTTTTGGGTCCTTAGGAACCTCAGTGCCAATGGTGAACCTCAGAGTCCAGATCTTTCGGTTGACCGTTTCCCCACTTACCCCCCTCTCCCTCACAAACCCTGCAACCCTGAGCCCAATGTTTAGACCCCCTGGACAGTATCACTGCAACCCAAGCGGCTTCCCCAAAGAATAGAAGCGAACCGACCCTTAAACTATGCACCCCCCCCCCTCCCAAACAAAAAAAA